AAAAGTTGCCTGAAGTCAAGACTAAGAATCTAAGTTCTGCAATGTTATTCTAGCTGTCTCGATGTGATCACTTTGTTTTATGAGGCAATTCAATTTGTGAGGCGTGTGTTGGTTTGTCGGTACTAATCTCCTCTGCCGTATATGGCATCCAGTTCACTCTGATAGATACGTCCTATAAATTAGTACATTCTGAGCCAAGCAACGTTACCGAAACAACTGCTAGCTTCCCAAACATCACCTTCATCATCCCTTGATTTGAATGCTTCGCGGATGATTTCGAGAAAGTTACGAATTTTCGGTTAAGCAGACACACACTTTCTAATAAACAAACTCATATTGTGTTATGTACGATCCACTGGGTTGACGGGTAAGTTCTGTTATGCGGCGCTAGTTCGTTTTTTCCTTTTGTTTCTTCCGACAAATGGGGAGACTGTATCATATTGTTCGTAACAGTCGTTTTCCGCAAACTGTTGTCTGTCGCAAGCTATCCACTTCAACAATTGGTGGAAAAGGGCTGGCAGCAGCTAACCAGCACCACTGACACGCCCCATCCTCCACAGCGAGCAAGATTGCGTTCACGAGCAAGACATTCTTATGGTGTGATGCTCATTAGTGAGTGAGCGCCTTATGTACGCAATCCCTGCAGTTCGGGTCATGTGGCGTCGTAGTAACTCCGTGTAGTGAGTTAGTTCGGAGAACGACTTGCAGTTGGAAGGGGCACTGTGCTATAAAGGTAGAGTTATCCAGCTGCATAACATGAAGTTCGGTTAGATCTCAAAACTGCACTGTGTAGGGATTGCAAGCTGTGTTCAGATGGACTTTAGACGTCACGTCGTCTTCAAAATTATCAGCCTTTCGCTTTGAAGCATTGACGTCATGGGAGATTGCCCGGTAATTGGAAGCATCATCATTTTGAGCCCCTGTGCCTCATCTGTTCTCATACTCCAATCAGAGTGGTGGGAAAAGTAGTTTGAAGGAGTCGATTCTAATGGCGCAGGGCAAAACTGACCATATTGCCAAATGAAAACTTAGAAGCAGGGAACACGTTGCTCACATTATCATCAGACCTCTTCTTATTAAAGGCAAGTATTCTACTTTTAAGTCAGTAAGACAGGAGCTTTTCGCCGATCCTTCTATTCTATAAAGCCACTAAGTTTGTGTGTCGGTTTGTCGGTATGTATGTATGTCTGTCCGTCCGCAAAATGCTTCACGGGTTCGAATTTAGTGGGAGGAGAATACGACCGCTAGACAAACCGGAAACCGATTGGTGCAGATGTATCAATCCAATGTTTTGATTGTGATAACAGCATATATAAGACAACCATTCGGTACACTCCGAGCCATTGCACGAGCTGCTCGGGTGGCAGCTGGGCGTGGGCGAAGGGAGAGTGGAGGGTCCTCCCTTCTGCTTCCTTTCCCTGCACGTGCTCAGCTGGACCAGCACGTGCAGGGTAGGGGAACAGGGGGAAGATGTTGGGTGAAGGGGTTACGATGGGGGGGTGCGTAGCGCACGCTTAGAGTGCACAGCAAGAGAGGAATATACCCAATAAAACTGCAAACTAATCCAAATAAAGTAACAAACTAGATGTTGTTTTGATTGTGATAATACCCACCATTTAGTACACTCCGAGCCACTGCACAAGCTGCTCGCGTGGCAGCTGGACGTGAGCTCGCGCGTGGGTTGCTCCATCTATTACGATTCGATCAAAACAGCGCAGTATGAGTAGCTAAGTGAATGAACAAATTCCGCATCCATTATGAAGTGCGCTTGGCGAGGACAAGCCAGTTAGGCTGCGTTTATACTTTGCGGCAGCGTAGCGTAGCGCTTCCAGCGTACGCCAGCGGCAGTGCCGGGGAGAGGATGCATATCGATCTAGCGTTCCCAGCGTCACCAGCGTCACGCTAGCGTTTAGCAGCGGCAGGGAGTAGAGACTATGTGGCCGTGAGAGACGCGGAATCGACGTGTATTGTAGAGACCATGTGGCCGTCGGAGACGCAGAAGCGATGTGCATTGTAGAGACTATGTGGCCGTCGGAGACGCAGAAGCGATGTGCATTGTAGAGACTATGGGCGTCGGAGACGCAG